CACAGCCTGCCCACCCTCCCCAGCTGCTAGAGCTCATCTCCCCTCACAAGCTGCCACTGCCCAGCTCCCTCAGCCCTGCAAGGCTCCTCCTTGCTCCCACTCACCCCAGTCCCCGCCATCTTCCCCCCACCCACAGCTTCCAGCAACTGCCTGACCCACGTCCCTCACCAAGATGGCTGCCAACACTGTGGCTGGGCCCTCGCCACATCCCGGTCTCTTAGGTCAGGGGTTGGCTGCTGTAAATTCAGCTGTCACAGTTACACACCCATCACCTGCAGTTTATCTTGTTAAACTGCAAGACACGAGCTGTGGGGGTTTTCAGCCCACGGTACGTGCTGGGGCTGACAAAGGTGGCGCTGAAGGAAAGGGGCAACAGTACTGTGGGACAAGCTCGTTGAGGCCAGGTGTCGAGCCTGCACTTTTGGGAGCTGTGTCTGTGCGTGTCGAGGTCATGGTGAACCCCGCACTTTGAAGAGGATTTTCTAGCGTCTGTGGCCAATCTGGCAAAGGCTCAATTTTCCCGCTCTGCCTTGTCTCGAGCTTTTTCTGCTGCCTCGCCACTTTCAATACCAGCTGTACTTCTGCTGCTAAACCCCATGCTTGCCAAAGACAGGAGCACCGACATCAGCAAAAACTGCGAGGCTTACAGTACAAGAAAGGCCTAATTCAAAACCTGCTTAGTCCGAGTCCGCCGCGTAAGTGAGCTTGGCAGGCAAAGGGGCGGGGAAGAGCCCGTGGCGCCCTGCGAGCGCCGAGGGGCCGCGCCAGGGTTAGGCCGTAGGAGGACACTGGGGTGGCATGAAGTATGCAGGGAGGGGTACGGGGTACTCGGGATGAGCTGGAGGGTGGAATATGAAGGTTAGTATCTGCATGAAAGTTTCACATTCAAAGAAGAATTGCTTAAGATTTGGGACAGCAGTTTACTACTGTGCTCAAGGCGCAAAAACCAGACTTCTGTTTTTTTCACATGTAAGACACTGTTTTGTACCGTAGGTGCCTTTCATCAGCTCTAGACGTTCGCTGTATGGACTATGCTTTCCAAGGAGTGATTATCCAAGCAGAAACCCAGGAGCTTGACGCTTCATACGCATGGTGTGCACAACGGCTGTGATGCTCTGGAGTGCACTGGGTTTTCTTTCCTTAGTGACAGAAATCTGCCCTTTTACAAAGCATAGCTGGTGCAGGGAGACTCTCACCACCTTTTGCCTTCCTTCTTGAGTTTGCAAATTCTACCTTCTTCTAGCAGAAAGCACTCTACATGGTGGAAACATTTCTGCACCCTATAAAAAATATAAATATAGTAGTAATATTCAACAGTTATAAGGTTTTAACGGTTGAATTATGACACTTTAGAAGAGAAACAGCATTGAACTGAGGAGCTTTCAGGAGATCTTGTGTGTTAACTGTCCACAAATAATAACGCGAAAGCATTTCAGAAAAAGAATAAGACGGTGGGCATGGCCCAGTTGTAGCTATGTACACGAGAGTGCATGGGGACATGAGAGAACTCCGTTAATTCCCTCATGACTGCATCAAACTTGTCAGAAATACTAAAAACACTTTGAAATGGTAACCCAATGGAAATGCAACAGCACATTTTTCAGGAAATCTATCCCTGTCTGCAAACACAAAGATAACATAGACTATCCCTACAGGAAATGATAGTTTTCATACTGTACTGTAGTAATTGCAGGCAGAAGCTTATGCCACTGTTCAGGAATATCAAGTTTCTACTGAAAGCAGATATTTTCCAAAACAATTCGGTAACTAGATAGCTACTGTGGCTACCTGTCGTAGAAGTTGGGTTCATTTTCATTTTTCTGAGGTCATTTTTTTCCACCTTTTCCCTGAATTGCTGTCTTCAAGGAGTGCCACAGCAACTCTAAGCAGGTAAATTAACTCTTTCTCTTTGTCCTATCCTTTGAAGAGGTTGGAATACCTGAAATGTTATACCCCTGAGTGGAATGAGACCAGACAGACTGTAGCTCTCTGAGTACAAATACATAGAAATAGATTATCAACTGAAAAATAGGTCATTTCTGCTTTTGCTCCTACTCTACCACTAGGAGGCAAAAGTACTATGGCAGTGAGAAGAGGAGACAGAAAGAGAAGCTTAAGAAGAAAGCTATGCTAAAATAGATTTTTCTCTTGCTTGAGGACTCTATATATTTACATATGTTGTATATTACACACACAGCAACACTCTTCTGTTTTAGAAAAGGGACTGTCAAGCTTGCTTTAATGAGATTAATGCACCTGTCCAATGGTGCTCTCCCATGTACTTTTCTTATATGTTTTAAATATTATCTGCCTCATCCAATCATTTTTGTATTTTTCTTCCCCCACCCTTACTCACCACTAATGCTGTTATGCTGTCTTGCCTGTTTTGGGATCATTCAGTAGAGCAGGGTCAGTGGAATGAAGTAGATTTAATATAACATGGAAAGAAAACATTTTTTTTTTTATCATCTGTGTCATTTCACTCCTCCAGTTTATGTCACCTCATTGTGTGATACCAACATAGCTGGAGGTAACAAGAGCCTAACTATAATATGCTTCAGTTAGGACTGAATTTCAAAGGCAAAGGTGTTCAGATGGGACTACCTGGCATTTCAAACTGTTTCAGAGCACAGGACAACATTAGTTCATGAAAGATCCCTTAAAAAGATGGACTAGCACTTATTGCAGTGTAAGTCAGTGAAGCCATTTTTACCTTTTTTCTTTCCTCTATTTTCAACAGATTTAATTCTGAAGCAGTTAGTTTTCCCCAAGGTATGTGAAAATAGAAAGCTGAATAAATGGCCTCATACAAAAAGAACCCAAAACCTAAAGCTGCAGTGATAAATGTTGCACATGGGAATACTAGCAAATCATTGTCATGTAGGGATCTAGATGCCTTTTTTGATCTATGCCAAGTCTGGAATGGCATCATTACACACAAGAAGATATTACCATTATTGATAAGTTTGTGTTGCTGGAATACATAATCTTGTGGGGAGGAGGCTTCTGTGAAGAATGCCAAAAAGCAAAATAGCTATAGGCTCTTGCCATGCTTTCAGGTCTTGTACTTAAAATATTAATTCCTTCAGATTCTTTACTCTGCTAAAAATAGCTAATTTTCCAATTTACTCACTAACATCCTTCACAGAACTAAGTGGAAAAAACAGAGCGGATCTGGGAAGTTGTACCTGCAAGTGTAAAATGGAGCACATGGTAGACATTACAAATGGGCAGCTTTCAGAGCAGTTTCACGGCATGAATAGCTATTTCCATTGTGTTTCTTGATGTTTATGTTCTTGGCAGCGTGACACCAATTAGAGATATACTTATTTCTGTGCACTGGATGAAGGAGAAGACAAGAATGGTCTAGCATTCAGAGTTGCAAAGAGCAGCTCTTTCTTTGATCATTGCATGATTTGCTTAGTGCTGATACTGTGTGCAAAGCCTTGCTGCAGTGATTACCAGTGCAAAATGATTATACTGCTTTAGCTAGCGCTGTAAAACAGTCACGGAGACTGCCAGCTAGAGCAGTAACAGTCACAAAGTCTAATTTCTCCTTAAGACTAATAATAAATGCTTCATGATTTGTGTTATTTTCACAAAAAATACGATTTAAAAAATGAAATACAGTGTGTAGCAGAATGAATAGCATAAAGAATTCTGCTCAGAACTGAATTTGTCCCACTGAGAAAGAAATGGCCCTATATAATAAAACAAGTAGTTATCATTGGTAAGAGGCAAATATAAAGCATGTGGAAATGTTTTTTGACTAAAATAAGCTTCTTCCAACACTCTAATAAGCTTCCGAACTAAGGCAGAAGCTTTGGAAAATTAAGTTGGAAATATCAAGCATTTTCAATGCTTTTGACATGTAAAAACCTTCATTAAAAAGCTAAGCAAGCTATTTAAAAGGAGAAGAAGTGATAAACAATAAGGAAGGGTCACACAACCTTTGATGAAGCTCAGAGATGCAAAACGGTTCTTCTGCAACATCATCCCCATGCAGAGCTCCAGCAACTTCAGTAAGCTATGTTTAGCAGAGGGTTTCACCTTTGTGGTTTGAATTTATCTTCAGCTCTAATGCAGGTTTAAAGCTCCTTGTGCAACTTATTTTCTCAATGTTGATTTCCCTATCCTGTATCAGCCTTGAAGTCCTTGATTTGTATAACGTACTCAGAGGCAAAAAGGTCTAAGAAATGTACAATCATTGTTTCCAAAAAAATAAAAAATAAATCCATAAAGCAAAAACTTAAAAAAATTGGCCAACAGCATCTTTTGTGATGCTAATAGCAATTGTAGGAGCAAACAAACACGTTAGATGACATCTTTAGTTGATGAGTGGGTATGTATGTTGTGATTCTTGGCAGTAGCAGGGGGCCAGGCTTGATGACCCAAGAGGTCAGCTCTTGTCTTTATGCTTGGAATTACCACAACCATTTCAGTAGCCCTTATTCTGTAAAGATGCAAGCTTGTATGCGTCAGTGTAACTTCACAAGACTCTACGATATGGCGCAAATGTGTAACTGGAACTCACATTGCTTTCAGATATGACATGGTGAATATTGCTGATGGCAGCAGCCGAGCAGCCTGAACACATTTTAGTTCCCTTTTCTCCCACCACTTCTTGCCTAATATCCTGAGTAGAGCAGTTTTCTTTACTGAGCGTGGTAATGAAACCCATAAGCGGCATTCTGATGCAAACCCTTGCTGGGAAATGGAGCTCTTAGTAAACAGATCAGACTGTTAAGGTGATAAACTACTGGATTGTCTCATTGAGGGATTCATTTTTTTCCACCTTTATCAAAATTTGGAGAGCTTGGAGGAATCCAGGTAAATTTTTGTACATGTTTGTCTTAGAAATAAAATACAAAATTCCAGGAGACGCTATAATCGGTATGAGGTATTACATATAACCTCATATATGTGGAGATTTTAGTGGTAGATTTTACTTGCAATTAGTTGTAGAGCTAAAAAGATGATGGTGTACGGCAATGCTAAGTGTACAAAATGGCCTATTCTCTCTCAGAATAGCATGTTTTATTCCCCGAAATTTTCCTAAGAGCAGTCCTAATTTAAGCAATCATTTCATTTCAAAGAATAACAGAAATAGTGTCATCAGAGGCAACTTCTAGTGTTTCCTTTTCTATTATTTGTGGCTAGTTCATTGTTAGGTGCAGTATTTTTTAATTTACTCTGGATTGAAATATCAGTTTCAGTATATATTCTGTTTGTAATGGGTCATGGAAGATATTTTTCTTTCCAGCTGTTAGTCAGAATGGCACTCAATGGCTAAAAACTGCACAAAATTTCCTTTAAAATCATGTAGGATCTTGAATTTCTAGAAATAATCGTAGGAACTTTTGAGTAGCAGAAGCGCAAGCTTTTCGTGCTTCAGAACTCATAGATGTTACATTAGGTTTAGTAGAAAAATGAAAGATGTTCATAAGAGTCACTGTACATACTGCACATATGAATAGGGTTCTGATTAAAGAGGCATCTGTTTGCTTCATTCCTTGGCAGACTCGCTATGAAGTTTACGGTAGTCTGAAATCTGTTGATTAGTATATGGAAAAAATAATTTTAAAAGCCTAAATATTAAATATTGTGAAACTGTGTGCTTGTGCTAAGCCAAATTAATAAAAACTTATCAAAATCTTTTTTCAGAAGGGATGTTAGTTAACCTGTTTCTACTGGACAGAAGGTCTTGGTGGAAAACAGAAACTCCCAGGCTTCAGTTGTTGAAGGATGTGTTGCCAATAGGAGGTAATTTTTCTGGTTTTGACATAGGCAGGTGCTAAAAAGAAGGAAGGAAAAGAAAGTGAGAATTTGTGCTGAAGTTATCAGGACATAAGATGGAGAGATGATCATGCTTGGATAGATGCTTTGCCCGGGTGTATTGGCTGTGACAACAATATGTTGGGATGTCATCTGACTGTCCTGGTCTCAGTCTGACCTGGAGAGGATGAATATACGCCCTATCATGTTGCTGCAACATGATGTATTTGCTCTTATGGTAAAAGATGCAAAAAATAGCAGTGAAAGGAGAGGGAAAACAAAGGTGTAAAGGACAGTAAAAAGGAAAAGATAAAACTTGAAGAGTGATCAGACAGGAGCACCAAGCACTCCCTTGTCTAATTCTGACAATCACATATACTCACAGATATGCTCATTTCATCTTACTGGTATTGGAGGTATGTTTGTAAAGACATTCTCAGGACAAAGTAGAACCTGTTGGTCTTTCTTCAGGGAATCCCTTAGAGTTCTATCTTCTTCATCCCTGAAGTCTACCTTTAAAAAATCCTACAGAGTAAAGGGTGGAATAGCCTATTTCTTCCTTTTTTAATATCTGATGAGGGCTCATTTTCCTTGCATATCAACCATTGAATTAGCAAGTCCTTTTGTTTGGGCAGATGCTGTCCTTCTGTCTTCTTTTCATACTTCCTCTACCTCCATTCACAGATACAGAGTATTGCAACATCTGAGCTCCACTTTCCAAATGCTGAAAGCACACTTAGAGGGAGTTGTCTTTAACCAGTGATTATAACTAGACTAAAGGGAAATAAAAGCAACTTGGACATTATTTATCTCTTCTGGAAACAAAAAAGCATTGCATAATAATAATTCTGAAGTCTCTCTGCCTGAAAAAGGAAACAATCAAGCAACAATTTATCATGAATTCAAAAAGGTAATAGCATCTTCTGCAAGCAGCTGAACTCCCTCAAATCCATTAATGTCAATAGAAGCTAAATAAGGCCTCTATGTTGCAAAATAATTTTCAGATCTGTATTTGTCTACAACTTTCAATTGTAGTTTTCCTTGACTTTTCTTTATAGTTCCTTATTTATCTTGTCCCTGGCTTAGAGCTCAGTTCCTTCAGTGGTTACCAGCTGCTTGGACCTTTTGCAGTCACAGAACTCATGAGCATACACACTTTTCTCCTGAAAATTATAGCTTTTTAATCTTTTATTAGTTTCCAGCAAACTCATCAAGATCTCTTTTCTTTACAAGATTTTCTGAGTTTTTAAAAGGACTGTATAGAGCCCATCACTTGGGAACAGAAAGGAAAAAGTTTACGAGTGAGAAGCAAAAAGAACTTTTTCCTTTATAAATCAGATCTGCACGTAATTTTGTACAATTGTACATTTCTTGTACAGTCAACAGTTACATATCTTTCATTTGCTTAAACTTTCACTTAATATTCGCTTAGAGAATTGCATAAATACACGTCTACTGTTCCTTTGATTGATTCAGTGTTGCTATTTGTTTGAAGGGGATGTGAAATGTGTGTGAAGTTGATGCGAAATGATCTTTTCACTTCAGCAAGACTGGAAAGTAAATAATGAGAGTATCTTTTTGCCAAAATATATTTTTTTCCCCCTCTAATTAGGCTGCTAGTAGGGACTGAAATATTCACAGTAATTCAAGAAAAATAGAATTAGTACTTTTATATTTCTTATGTTCTATTGATAATGTGTTTCTATGCAAAAATGTGCACCCATACTGAAAATAAAGGAGAACTGCAATTGTTTACACTGAAGTTTAATTAAGATCTAGTCCTGGAAGAATTATGTACAACTGTATCCTGGTATCTGTGTGGGGCCTTGTTAAAGGCAGTGGGAGGCTGAGAAAGGGCTGTGTAGACAAATCTCCTAGCTGAATTTATGGCTTGAAAACCAAAACCAGGGTATTATTCTAGATTTGAGCAAACACATTTGAATAATGCAACCATCTCCTCTCAAAGCAAATATTATTGTGCACCTTGCTTGCTGCTTCCAGTTCAGAACAGGAGCTGAAAGGCCAAAATATTTTGCTCTGAGTTTCCCAATAAATTGCAAATAACCTGACCGGAAAATAACCTGACCGGTTATTGCATGAGACTCTTCTGTCCAACGGGCACTTTGCCTTTAGGTGGGAAGGGTGGGGGTTAACCTAATCTAATTTCATAATCTTTTCAAGTTCCCATTTCATGAATTACAACCTGTTGTATGTGCTGACAGAATAGGTAACTGCTATCCCTTCTGGGAAAGGAAACAGAAAGTGTGGGGATTATTCTATGAACAGAGCTGTGAATACGAGGTTCTCTTGTTCCCAGTTCCCCATCTGTCTACCTGGCCAGTCCGGTTGGGCATTAGAATCCACGGCATGGTTCCTAATATAAAGCAAGCCTATTAAAAGAGGAATTGATGACACACATCAAAGAGAAACAGAAAGATTTCACAGATGTTTCCACTCTCTTCTTGGATTGCTATTCTTACTACTTACTCACTGTGAGTAAATGAGAGAGGATACATTGTTAGATTGTAAGCCTTGCACATCCCCACTAGCTATGCTTTTTACTCCTGGAAGAACTTGTACAATTGCATGGCTTGGGAAAGGTTTGGGGTCTGTTCACAGTACTGGGGAAAAAAATTCATTAAAAGAAATCCATAGACTTCAGTAGGCCTTAGAGAAAGTAAACTGCCTTAGCATGGCGAAAGTGAATTGTGTAATGCATTTGAAATCATGTATCGATGTAACTGGTGTTGCTGTCGCAAAAATGTTCTAACACCAAAAGTTTTCTTCAAAGCAATATTTCCAGCTTCCACTAGCGCTGTTTGGTGACTGTTTCTTGTCCAGAAGGCTCACATTACCGTAGTTTAATGCAGTAAATTTTCTTAAATTTCAGCTGGAACAAGCAACAAAAGAATCCATTTATTCCTATAATTTATGAAATAAATGTGTCCGAGTTGGCCAAGCAGCTGATCAGATTGTCATTTACAAGTGCTGAAAACTTTAAGCACTGAGGGAAAGTATTAATATTTCTGATGGTTTAGATTTTGTTACAGAATTTAAAAAAAAAAAGTGCATTAGCACAAGTCAAGAGAGATCAGAGCTAGAAAGCTTTGTTATTCTTTCTGGCATTGCAATTAGCTTAGCTTTCTGTTTAGGTGGGTAAAAGAAGCGCCTTTTGAGGTGTTATGCAGGAAATCTTGAATGATTGATGATACATATATGTGTATCTATCTGCAGTATACGTGTGTGTGAGTGAGTGTACGTGCACCGACCAGCAGTAGATAGCTTAAACCTGATAATCTCTATAGCGAATGTGAACTTCCTCCCTTTCCTACATGAGCAAAAGAGATAACAATTTGGTGCTTTGGGGAGAGGTTTCACATATGTCAATCTAGCACTTCTGTTGGCCGCCTTTATTACAAGTAACAATACAGAGTTTGGAATGACTGAATTTGCTGATGATACCGAAAGAACGGCAAAGTTAATTTAAAAAAAAAAACATAAAAGTCACAGTTTGTCTGACAGACATGACAGACTGTTCATGAAACGGGGTACAATCAAACAAAAGGCAAAAGAGTTGACAACTCCAATTCATAAGTGTTTGTGAATTAAGTTAAAATTGGTATATGACTGAACGTGCGCTGTCACTGATCTTGTGCCCAGCACTACCAAGTGAAGGCACAGTGTTTTCTTCTAAAATTTTTGTTCAGCCCTTTACTTACTGTGCTTTGAAGTGATAGTCTTTTGCTTCTAAACAAATGATTCAAAAGTCTTCCTAGTTATATCATCCCTGCTTTATACCATCAAACTTAAATTTAACCTCCCCAGCCAAAACAGATCCCACTTAACCTAAATTGTGAACTCCGTATGTCAGCATATTTGCTGGCACCCTGGCTGCTGCTGGCCGCCAGGAAAGCAGTCCTGCTGCTGAGGGACCTCCGAACCCAAAGGTGGCCCCAGCCCAGTGCAGTGAGGCCAGTTCCCTTCCCTTGGCCCTGATCTTTCATTGCACTCTGAAGTAATTGTACCAAACATTAACTGTATTGAGCATTTATTCTCTGTTCATATTAAAGACTGACCTTGAAAGGTATTGAATAGAGCTGACCAAATAAAACATTTTAAAATGAAGCTGAGTTTCACCCCTTTAGAATCTGTTCACCTTTTTTTTTCTTTTTATCTAAGGAGTTAAGTATTTTTGACAGTATCTGGGTTTATTGATTGTCTCTTCTTCCTGTTTTACTCCATATATTTTCATTTGCCACCTACCCATGCACTGTTTTCAGGTTCAAAATGGAGAAGAGAAACAAGGACAAAAGAGGGGGAGGTGGGGAGGAGCAGGGAAGAAAATTGTTGAGAAGGGAAAGAAAAAGTGACCCCACCCCCATCTAGATGACTCTTTTTTTCGCAAAGGAACTTTCAGTTCTCCAGAGAGCTGGCAGAAATAACGGTAGTCTGGTACATAATCCTGGTTCCAACCCAGTCTATGCTTCTCACCTCAGGAGTCTCAAATGTTTTTAAGGATACCTTATTTTTAAAGTAGTGGCTATTTTTAATATATTTAACAGGTGCCAGTTTCCAATTCCACAAATAAACAGAAATTATACTATGCACAAAAAGAGCTGAATGACCACCCTCTAAAAGCAGTAGCTGCACTGAAAAATTTAACATTGTATAACCACAGCAAGGATATAACAAAATACTCAACTTCTTTACCCCTGCAGGAAGATGTGCTACGATATCTCCGCAGCCAATCAGTAGTTCTATGAGCCCTCAGACCAGGAAACCCTTTAAAGAACAGTATGTGTGAACACTGCAACTGAGACTTTCTCATTGCTGCTGTTTCTTTTTTTTCTTCTCTACGATCATAGGATGGCAAGGCAGATGTGAAGGCACTCATGGCGAAATTTAACACAGGTAACAGCCCCACAGAGGATGTTTCTGGAAACGGTCGACCCTTCAAAGTCCCAGGACAACCTATGCATTCAGGATTACAGGCAAGGAAAGCGGCACTTGAGAAATTTGCAAGTCAAGGAAATGCAGCTTCTCCTTCAGGACCGAGTACCTTTCACAAGCCTGTTCACTCTAAGCCTCCTCTGGGAGTCAAGCCTTCAGCTGATGATAAAACAGAAAAGGATCCTAAGCCCCCATATCTGAAACCAGTGACACAAAGGTTTGGGGTTCAGCTTCAGGCAACTAACAGAGAAAACGATGGAAAAGCTGGATGCCCTAAGATCCCCACCAAATCCAGCGACTTGGCAAAAGAAGAGCCAAAGCCTCTGTATCCAAAACCTCTAGGGAACAAGTTCCTTAACTCTGCTCCTCCAGAGAAAGAAAAAAAGCCTTTGGGACCCAAACCAAATTTGAATTTTGCATCACAAGAGAATGAGCCAACAGTATTTTCAAAAGTAGCTGGAGTAAAAGAAAAGTTCACTGCTGCAGCACAAGAAAATGAGCCAAATCCTCCTTTCTCTAAACCACTTCTGGCACAGAAACCTTCTGTAAACCATGAAGTCTCCTGTAATGAAGACACTTCTAATAGAAATGCTTTTCTGCATAAAGGACTATCAGGCCCAAGACCAAAAATAAGCTCATTTATAGCAGCAAAGGAAACGGATGAAAATAGTAACAGTGCTGCAGAAGCTGCAGGCAGTCAGTTTTCAAATATGGCTCTGAAACCCACTGGCAATTGGTCCAGCTCATCTCAAGTCACCCCCAAAAACGTGGAGGAAAAGCCTGAAGAAAAGGGAGTGAGTGCAGCCAAGAATATCTTTCTCAATAAAGTCAATCAGGAGCAATTTGGTTCATCTCCCTCCAAGTTCCTTAAGACGAACACTGCATTTGCCGCAGGCAGGTTATCAGGTGGGTCACAAGAAAAAGAGGATGGAGACAAGTACTTGGCAACTCCTAAGCGGAAGGCTTTGCCCCCATTGTTCACTCTGGGCCAGCCCCCACAGAAGCCCAGCAGACCCCCAAATGTGGACCTGGAAAGGTTCAGGAAGAACAGCACAAGAGACAGTAAGTCTTCTCTGTTGTTGTTTTCTTGGGAATTTGTTTTTTTACTCATTTAGTGCTGTATTCACTTAAGCTGAAATACTCTCCTCTATCCAGAAATAACACATGATCTATGTCAGATAAATCCACCTTAATGCTATAACCTATGCTTGTGTCTCTTCTGCACAGGAAGGAAATTAAAATCATTTTCTCTCTCTCACAACAATATAGAGTGTAGGAGGAATGTTTTCTGTATTTGGTTTATTTTTTACTGAAAAGTAATTAGATGTGGCTGTAACTTATATCAAGCAGTTAAAGTATTTCTCTCGACAGGCATTTAAGTTCTGACTTCCTATAAATGAGGTGTTGATATACTGTGTCCTATTCTCAAAAGTAACTTCCTGGGCATAGCTTGATGGCTATCTAAATGATATACTACAACCTGTAGTAACCACACCTTTTTTTGTTTTTTTTTTTTTTTTGCTTTTGACAATGATTAACCGCAATGTAAGCCTATGAAATGCTACATTTTAAAGTATGTCTAGAAAGTTGAACACTACACAAAGCTACAGAATCAAATGTTTTGCAGGCTCCACATGGAGCTGCTTGGATTTTAAAATCAGATCTCAATCCAGATTCTATAAACAGCTTGTGCACTTAGTGTTTCTGTTAGATTTGCATGATTTCAGCAGTTTGTAGCAGCTGAGGCTCTACCTCACTATTTTTATGAAGAAGCAAGCCTCTGAACTTTCTGATGGTTGTAATCCAGGCATAAACGTTAAGACTTGTGACTAGGTTTATGTAAAAAAAATGATATACTACAACCTGTAGTAACCACACCTTTTTTTGTTTTTTTTTTTTTTTGCTTTTGACAATGATTAACCACAATGTAAGCCTATGAAATGCTACATTTTAAAGTATGTCTAGAAAGTTGAACACTACACAAAGCTACAGAATCAAATGTTTTGCAGGCTCCACATGGAGCTGCTTGGATTTTAAAATCAGATCTCAATCCAGATTCTATAAACAGCTTGTGCACTTAGTGTTTCTGTTAGATTTGCATGATTTCAGCAGTTTGTAGCAGCTGAGGCTCTACCTCACTATTTTTATGAAGAAGCAAGCCTCTGAACTTTCTGATGGTTGTAATCCAGGCATAAACGTTAAGACTTGTGACTAGGTTTATGTAAAAATTGAGATTTTGTGTGTGTGTGTGTGTGTGTGTGTGTGTATGTGTGTGTGAAATGAGAGGTTCTTTATTATATTTGAAATATTTGGGAGTACTTATTTCCTTGTACAAAATCTCCTTATGGTAACACACTTTTCTCTGAACAAAAGAAACTGCTGTGGCTCCACTCCTTCAAAGAGTTCTGCTTCAAAACATGCCTCTCACCGCATAAGATCAGTTGCAGCACATATATAAATTGTTTCTGGGGCATTCAGAAAGATGTCACTGAAAATCTGAGGCTATAATTTAAAAACGTAATTTCCTAAAGTTAAAACCAGAGATTTCTTGTCATCTCCTAAAAGGAGAGATGAGTTTTTAAAAGGTTCTTGACATCCTTAGTTTTCCTGTAAACCACCTGTGTTTAAAACTTTTGGGTTAATGTTCACCCTCACCACCCCCTAAAGTATTTTAAGCACTCTTTGGCAATTTTAAAAAGCTAAAATCAGCTACCCTTACCTCTAACTGGAATGGGTGATACCAGTAGCCACACTTCTATTACAAGCTTTGTAGTAGTAGAAGGAGGTTTTCTTTTTTTTCTTATAGTTCAGGCCCTGGGAACAATGATTACATAAGAAACTTGATCACATTTTTAAATCAGAGTTCTAAGCTGTATAGGTCCAGAGGAAAGCTGCTCTTGATCTGAGTGGGTCTTAGAGAAACAAGGACAAAAAAAATTTATTATTGTGGTAAATTTTTATGATTTTTTTTGTTTATTTTTGTTTATTTTTGTAATGCATTTTGCTGAGGAGCTACTTCATCTAAAGCAGAGAATATATTCAGTCCTCACAGTCTCTTTTAGCTCAAGTCATTTTAACCATCATTAAGTTCTGCAACAAATAATTTCTGACAATGAGGGATGTTTCACACTACCTTCCGTGGTCTACTTTAAGAATCTCCCTTAGATGTAATTAAACAGATCAGACTCGGACTCTTAAATTTTCAGTACAGTCAGTGGATGAGAGAGATTCAGCGTGTATAAGTTAGATGGAGTTGAAAGCAGACGCTCTGAATAACCCCAAGCTATTTATGTGCAATGCTTCAGGTACATTAATGATATGAAATTTGTCCTTGTGCTTTGCTTATTTAGAATATAACATTGCTTGGGTTTCTGCAGTTTACAATGCACAGATGAATGGCCTTCTGGAGAAAGAAGACATTAAAAGGAGTTATGAACAGAAAAAAAAGCTCAGAGCTGAGTCTCTCTAAAGACAAAATGCCACAATAAAAACTCAAGAGTATGCATGCAACTTTTTATTCTGTTATCTCCTATGTAAAAATTAACAGCATATCAGTAACTGAAAATGTACTTTCTTGTCAGTTGGTACGTTCTGGTTTTCCTGAGTCACTCTACATTTATGGAAATGTTCTCACAAATTCATGACCCGGGCCAAATCCTCCAGTGTTGTAATTTTGTGCATCTCTTTAAAAGAGTTGTGCTGATTTACAACAGTTTGAGCAGCTGTCCCTTCTCCATAGAGAACTGATCAGCATGACTGGCTTTACTCCAGTGCCCAGGACAATCTCAAAATGGAAAGAAAGCATTTTCAGCAAATGACACCAGATACTGTGAAAAATAGTCGCAGAGATTAAACAAAAGCAATAAGACCTTTGCTAGCTAGAAATTCGCGAAGCCTTGGTCAAAGCTGAAAAATACCTCTAACTGTAATTAATTACAAAATGATGGTGCTTGGATTACTTTTTAAATAATTAAGGGAGGGATGAGTTTGTTTTTTCTGGTTCCCCTCCAGTTACTGTCACAATGCATCTTTTCATCCTGTTTTCTTTAAAACTGAGGTTTAGAAATACATATTGCAGGCATTTAAAATGAAGACTGAGGTTGTCATGTGAATAGGACTATAAGAGTAATATCAGAACTATTGCTAGAAGGAGAATCTCAAGTGGTCACTAACCAGCACGAGTGCAGCCACAGCCTGGATGAGCCGCTCTGTGAACAGGGGCCTAAGGACAGAGCCACCCAGTGCAGTGGCACAGCCTGTTCTCGGCACGTGGTGCAGACTGCAGGCCTGGCTGAGCAGAACGGATGGGGCAGCCATAGTCTTCTCTGCCTCACTCTCTTCTGGTCAGGGCAAGACTGAAAGATTTGGAAACCACATCAATGTGAAGCTGTTTGTATTAGCCCTGAACTTTTAGCCTTCCCTTGTAGAGTCTGCCTGGTGGCCTTGATTCTGTGGTTGGCTTCAATTAATGCAGATCATTTCTGTGGCCAGAACTCCATGTATAACATTTTTGGTGGCAAAACTAGGTTTTCTAAAACAAATCCTGAGCAAACTAGTTTTCAAGTTGACAAAGTGTTATTCATCGCATTTGGATTTCTTGGAACGTTAGACCTGAACGACAAAACCTACCTGCTCTGGAAAGAACAGACAGTTAAACTGAATTGCTTTCTTTACTTCTTTTCTTTTTTTTTTAACTGTCATTTCAAGAATCAAAGTCATGTCAGGAAGATGCCACCCCCACAGCACAAGATCTTTCTGCTCATTACTTTGTCCTCATAAACAGCAGCTCGTCATAGTTGCTTTATTTTCTGCTGTGATTCAGGTGCTGAGTAACAAGAAGAACAAGCAGTGAAAATGGCTTTCTCATTCAGCATGGCTTTTTGAGATTTGAACTTTTTTTTCCTAATCTCTGCTAGGACAAAAGTTGGGCTTTGTGGTGTCCCTTGCGAAGAGAAAAGCTTTACACAAGGTAATACTTACACTTGTGTTAGGGGCGTATATCTGAGATACAGAAAACCTTGTACTGCCTAATTTGAACCAGGAGTTTAACCAAGGCTTTCTCAGAAGTACCAGTCCAGCCCTTTTTTGTTTGTCGTCCTTTACCACTGAAGCTGCTCTACTGTGATTTTATAATCAAATATTCACTGAGCACAGAATAACTTTGTACCCTAGAGGATGAAGTACTCATCTCAGATGCAGCAGTCTTATTCATGTGTGGGAGAAAGATTCAAACTGTCCACCACTCTGTTTTGGTGTTGGTCTTGCTTTTGACAATTAATTTTCATCTGGTCCTGAGGAACTTTTCTTGATAAAACTTTTGTAGATACGAGTGTGTTGCTGAGAAAAGTTTCTGATTCATCTTCTGACGAATTAGTATTTTCCAGGGAAGATAAGTTTTAAAAAAATCCCATCTGGTTCAGTGAATACATGGGACCCTGGATGGGTAACTTCCCCTGCTAAATCCCACTAAAGCCATTTTCCCTGAGAGTAGAACATATTTACATCAGCTCAGAATTAGTGGGATACATATTATTTTCCAAATATAGAAAGTATAACATGACAATTGATACAAAGACCGAGCGGTACAAACAGGGCTTTGTAGAAACAAGGAGAGAAGCAAAGTCATTTTGTTGACAGCTTTCCAAGAGAGGCCATACTATTGCTTTCAGAAGAGAACTGCACCTGGGTGGGTTGACTTCAGTGGGACTGTGCGTACACAGATGGCCAGCCACACAAAGTCAGTCGAAGGTTCAGAGTCCCTAGTGTTCTAAGTACCTCTAAATACCTTGGTCTGCCTCATGAATGATCAACACTGGGGCTTCTGCTAAGCAGAGGATTTTAAACTGTAGTTGGAAAAATGAAAGGCAACTGTATTGAATCAGTGAGAAAAGAATACCTACCAAAAAATGTCCCAATTTATAATTTGGGTTATGCTTATGGGACTCTCTGCTGGGAGTCTGTTGTGCTATGTATTGTGTTCTCTTTTTTTACCTCAGTGCTAGATTGGATAAAGTTACACAGTAGCTCAGTACTAAGGTCTACGGCGATAAAAAGAATTGGAG